GACAATTCTGAATCGATTTAGATATACTTTTTTACTAAAGCATGATGAAGATCTCGGCATAGCACACGACAATTGCGATGAATAGTGTGGGAAAGGCGAAAAAAATAGATTTATGTGGAAGTAAAATTCAATAAGTACATTTGTTTAAGAACATATTATTTATAATTTTATTATTTTGTGCTCAGTATAATCATTCGAAAATGAGTAATCTTTAACAGTTAATTTATAATTTTTGGTATGACTTGGTATGACGCAGTGGACACGTTGAGTCTGAGGTATTCTTTTTGTTTGATCGTACCGACCTGTCAAAAATTCGGCGGCGATTGCAAGTATTGGGACAAAAAAAATTATGAAATATTCTTATGTTGTAAGAAAACTTACTTAAACGAAATAAAATAAAATAAGTAAGTGCTTTTCTTGGGCGTAGAATGATTATTTTTATGTGTGTATTTTGTATTATATGAATATTAATCTCAATTACATCCCGCGAAAAATTAAAATTTTTAATATAGATGAAACTAAAGAGCTAATAACCATTAACGAAAAATTTTTTAATGCAAAAACCGATCACAAAAATATGAAAACGCGTAATTGTGTTGTTCATGCGGTACGCATCTTGAAAAAAAGTAATATCAAATAAGATTTACAGAATAAAGGACGTGAGATCCAAAAAAAAGAAACTTCTCGAACAACTGGTATTATAATTAATGAATAATTGCGTTGTTATAATTAAATAATATATGCAAATCTTTATAAACTTTTATATGGATATAAATATATCTCGTTTTATTTTTTATTCCCTATCAAAATTATTTTTGATACATTCATATATATTACTGCAAAATTGAATATATAATTGTATTACACAATCAATTATAAAATAATTTAAAAAGTTTCAGCGTTTTTTGACAGGATATTTACAATTTTACGTCATATATTACTTGACTCTGGTGTAAAGTCAATTTCTCAAACAAAAATAGATGAATAGGCTACAAAAAATTATGGTAAAATCGGCGCTTTGTTAAAATAAATTTTAGTAATTAATAACTAACAACCATTATATCACGTTTTCTATAAAATAAATTGCATAATAAAACCAAAATATTTCTTATCCTTTTTATTATATATCTATATATTGCTTCTTTGCATCGATTTTATCTATAATATTTCATCTTGGCTAAGTATATGGAAAGGAATAGAAGAGTATAAAGAACACAAATCCTAACTAGTTCATAATTTTTCCTTATCTACAGAAATTTTTATTTATTTATTTTATTTTTACACAATATCTTACACTTTTCTCTTTTGTTCAAGAAAAATAATACAAAAATAATTTTATAAAAGATCTAAATAAAAATTTTATATTTTTAAAATCATTACTTTAATTGTGATAGTATTATTTTACTTCTTATTTATTTGTGTTTTTCAAAAATTTATTACTCTAATTGTAAGTAGAATTGATCTGTACGTAAAAAAATTTCGAAAATTTAATTTACTGAGTAATTTATTAACATTCGCGAAATAAAATTCTGATTTGATGTAATATTTTATTTAGGATTTAAAATTTTATAAAAAAAATATTTATATAGAACGCTAAGATTTGTCAACGTAATTCAACGATAATGAGCTCTTTGCGAGCTCTGTGTGTGCGAAGTATGCGAGATTTCCTCAAGCACAATCGCACAATATGCACCAAGATATATTTGCTCTATATTTGATTAATCGTAGATTCATTACCTCAGTAAAAAAAAATTCTGACTCACCAATTAATCCGATGCGCAACAGGTGGAGTTATTCACGTAGCTACGATGATACTGTAACATACAAACATAAAATTCAAATTAAAGAAGCGTTCAAAATGATCAATATTTCAAAAGATAATTCTTACGCGCCTCTAATTCGTCTTTCAATAAAATATTTAGCAATGCGTACAATTATTATCTATTTACTGAAAAAGATCTTTTACAAGAATTAGATAATTTCTCTTTTTCTAATTATTTTTAACTTATCAAAATAAAACAATTTAAATAAATGGAAAAGAATTATTATGTAGATGATATTCACCTCAAGGTTGCTCCGCTGGGGCCCGATGTCTCTCCCAGACCTCCTCCTCCTCTCACCTCTCACCGCACAAGACACTCGCTAGAAATACTCGCGGATAATAAACTACAATCGCGCGTCAATCACTACGTCAACTACAATCACTCGTTGAACGTCGGTACGAGTCGCGGCGAAACGTTGTCGCTCGTGTAAGTAATTTCTTTCTCGTGAACGAAAAGAAATCCTCCGGTTACAGAGCGTGTGTGTTGCAAGCTGAATGTACGCCGAATATACTGTTTCTTCTCGTGTCGACTACAACGAGTAGCCGCAGGGGGAAGTGATCCGCGCAGTTCCTTGGGCCGAACAAACCCACGGCATTAAACCCGAGTTCCCGACACCGCGGACATACACACACAACTACACATACTCGCGTCAGTGCAATTGAAAAAAGACACGCATCACGGCTCATACTTGCGTCGCGTCAATGCAATTGGAAAAAGACCTCACGGCTCATAAGACTATTGGTTCGCCCTGGCCGTTTTCGGGGCAGTATTGCCTGAAGGCCATTAAACATACGATGATAATTACAACGAGTGGGATGGCTGAAATGAACGTCGAGTGCCGTGCTGGACGCCCATACGTATCACCCTCCCGCTCCTCCCGGCTGTGATTTGACGGGTCTCCTGCAATGCGCCGTGATCGGTAAGTGAATAAGTGAATTGTGCATGAGAGACAAATGATTTGAAGCGCGATACCTACATCCCGAATCTTTAGAATCATTGTCCCGCGTGTCGCAGTGAGACGATAACCTCGGAATTCGTGTTGTATCTCTTGCCTCCGTTTTGATTTCTACTTCGAATGAATAAATCGTGTATGGAAAGACGCTTCGGTGAATAGCTCGAATCTCTCATTAAGCACGGGAATTAATAATCTATTGAGTAATTAAAGAGAATGATCGCGCGTTTGGCGTTTTCACTTTACTTGTCGCGATCGCGAACGAGGGAGTGAGCTAGCTTGCTCCAAAATGCGTATAAACTATGAACTTTGAGAGTGCGAATTAACAAGCTCAACCGTGTGTATGCGAATACAATTTCGTTTTTCGTTGAAAAACACACATAATTTGCTCGTAAGATTCGTTACGTTTACAAATGTTTCAAATTTATTTGTATGTGCTCCTAATCTAACTTCGTAGAAAATTAAAAAATTTCGTCGCAATCGTTTTTGCAGCGCGGTGATCGCGCATACCATAAAAAACGATAAACCGTCGTCGTCAAGATACTTAAAAATTATAAAACATTCTCTGTTGCATGTTCCCCAAATATTATTCGTTTTACTTACAAAATTTTCCATAAAGGCCTATTGTCTCGTATTCGGATTTTTAAATTAATAGGAGATACATATCTTTGATATTTGAAATAACCCAGACAGCACGTACAAAAGCGGGACATAAGACGTTTAAAAGACATCTTTTAGACATTTTTTTAGATATCTTACGAAAAAATGGCTAAAAGACTTCTTATATGTCCCGATTTTGGACATTGTGCTGTCTGGGAAGTGTGAAAGTGAAAGAAGAGAAAAAGTGAGAGAGGGAGAGAGGGCTATTAGATATTTAACACATAATATAAATAGGTATATAAAATAAGTTAATATATTTATCGATACATGTAAGATATAAATATTAAACTGATCCTCAACCAATTACAATCGAGAATATTTATATCTTACATTGCATGTATCGATAAATATTAACTTATTTTATATATTAATATATCTATATACAAAATATATATTTAGAAGAGGAATATCTACCCTCTCTCTCTTTTTCTCTTTTCGACAATGCCGATAAAACATCATTTTGGTGCGCGTCCGTGCTACATCAGCAAATGTAATACATATATGTATATGTATATGATGTATATACATTTGCAGTTTTTGCAGATGTAGCACGGACGCGCACCAAAATGATGTTTTATCGATAGTGTCTGAAAATGAACGTGGCTACGTAGTACCAATTTTGAAAATAGATGTACTGGCGGTAGTGTATGTACAGGGGCTTTCGACCCACGAAAAAGGCCGGGATGCAGTTTCTCTCAGGCTTCTCATCTCTGCCGCGGCTAATCCAACTCGCTTTATCTTATTAAACGATTCCAAATCGAACACGTTTGTACAAACTTTTTTCTTCATTATGATCAATGTTCTCACCTCTTATATTTATTAAACTTTCTTCCTGAATCACCTTGTGTAGATACAATAAAAATGATAATAACAGAAAATGTTACATAAAAGTTAATTGTAATATTTAATGTGTTATATTGAAAAAACTGTTGTACAAAACTATTTTAACATATCCAGTTAAAAGAATAAAATAATTGCAGTGCATTGCAACATAAATCGTGTTGATTTCCGTAAAAAGAATAAAATGACTGTTTAGGTGAATAATAAATGTGAGTGAATAATAAGGGTTTCTTAACATTTTATAATTTTAAAAATGTTAAAAACGTTTTTTGAAAAAAAAGTGTTGAAGTAAAAAAATTCCGCCAAATAAAAAAAAATATGAGAAACATTTTTAAACCCACCAACATAATAAAAGATATTTAAATAATGCAGTTGAAAAGTGAATAATATATCATACCAATAAAACAGTTTTTTTTTTTAATAAAAGTACATATCGATCGTTAACAACTTTATCGACAACTACATGGAAGTACTGAACGACGTGTATCAAATTCGTTCCCTGATTTATCAGTTGTTATTAATAGTTAACATTTATATTTTATCTATAGAAAAGCACAGAAGATATTTAAATAATACCTAATTAACATATTTCTAAAATATGCAGTTTTAATGTAAGTACTTTAACAATATTTCATAATTTTAAAACAGAATTATAAGGTTTGGTTCTAAATATATTCTATAGAAGGAAGATGATGTGAGAAATCTCATATTGGAAGAGACAAAGATTAAAGTGTAACATACCTCATTAGTTTTTTTATTGATGACATGTATAAATACGTGCTCTATATATAGGCATACTGGGCGTTTTCCGTTTAATAAAAATAATTACAGCGAAAAACGGCGCAAAAAGTGTAATATCAAATCGGTAATACAGTATACGACAACCATCAAGGTTGATACATGGTAAAACCACCTTCGAAATTTACGTATAAGTCGCATTTCTGGGTATAAAGTACTATCGATATTTATCATTATAGGAAATACAATTGATTAATCTTTAATTGACAGGCAGCGAATGTAGAGTTATATAAAAATTTGCGTTAAGAGCCGCGCAAACTGGATATTTTGGTCCGTGCTTATAAATTCATCGCACTGAGACTTGTCCATTATATAAAGGGTTTCGAAAGAAAATGCAAAAACTTTTAGTGTTATAGGCTCTTTGGCACGACTATCCGGATATGTTTTAACATCTCTTATTGATTTCCGAATTTATAGCTTCTGAGCTACGTTCGGCTATATAGGGCTATCAAAAGCTTACTTTCTAGCGTGCGAAAAGGATTTTCATGACAACTTTTTGTTCACACTTGACATATACATATTTATCCTAGCTTGATATCTGTTTATGTAGTTGCGACGATATTCTCGTTATAATTTGAGTCATTCTAGTTCTCAGAGTTTTGTGGATTTCACCGCAAAGAAAAATGTCAGAAAATTTGTTTATTCGTGTATAAACCGCAGTTATTTCTACTGTTTTTATAACATAGCAGTTCTAAAAGAATAACTTTCTAAAAAAAGAAACGAAATAATCCGAGATTACGCTATCGCAGTTGGTACTATTTCAACTTCTTGTGAAGTGTCACTTAGCATTAAAGTAGCCGTCGTTTGCTGCCGAGAATTCTGATCGATGCCTCTGGTGCTCGGCGGAACGTACGTCCACCATGCCAAGAAAAAGAAGAGCAGCGAAGCCGCTTTCCCAATAAATGCCAGTGCGAGCATGTATCTATGTAACGAAATCGTATTTGAAAGACTTCGGATTAACCCGCAATTTATGTACACAAAAAAAAAGAAGTATCAAAGCAACTTATATGTATACCCGTATATATACAATCTATAATTTCGAAATAAGATTGTATTGCATTAAACAAAAAAAACTTGATGCTTGAATAAAGTTATTTATATATAATTAAACAAAGTTTTATTTAATTCAACCCAAAAAAAGTGAAAATTTTTATAAAAAGATTATAGATTGTTGCGTGTATATATGAGTATATAAGTTTTGATTTAACACTTCTTTTTTTCTCTATAAGATCCACTGTTCGTGTAATTTACCAACCTGCTCATGTAATAATTGTCATATACGAGGCAAGCCCCTCTGCCATCGCACGTCTCGTTCCACAAGATGCAAGTGTCATCTATAAGAGCGCCGAACACCATAGGTGCCGGTATCGTTCCTAAAATCCGAACCTTGATCCACTGTATGCCTAAAGCGAACGATCGCTGATCGTCGCGCACGACCCTCAACGTTGACGAGAGCGCCGGCATTGTGCAGAGGAAAGTCATGAACATATTACAAAACGCCAGGACGATAAACAGCCACAGGTACGAGCATGAACTCGCGCAGGTAGTATTAATAGCCTCGTACTGGACAACGTCGCCGGTATCGTCGCTCGTTAAATTCATCGCCGGCACGTGTATACAGCTACAATCCGTGTATACCTAAAAGAAGAAACGTCACGACATTTATTCGCCGCGTAAAAATGAAATTCCGCTATTCCAGAAGTATACCAGGCCAGGGGAATATAGTTATATACTTTGACATTGTTTATCGGCGTTTCCCGATAACAGCCAGCATGACAGGGCGAGTAGTACGTGATTCCATCGACACCGCATATAGGGTCGAATTGCGATCTGGAGCAGCCGCAGCCGTTATTGCAGGTGTTTTCGAGAGATAACGCGATCTTTCTATAACGATACCATCTTTGTGTAACAAGTAAACGAGCCACTTTTCTAATATGCTAAATCCCATTACCATTAGGATAAATCTATATCAATTGTACAAACCTCGTGATGTTCTGATAAGGAACAGTCAATCCGGCAAAGTCTAAGTTCGGGCAGTTTAAAGCAAAACACAGCGTGAAAGCGATGCAAGCGGTTGTAGCCAGCAAACAAAATTTCAAAATGTCAGAGCAGGGCAAGTTTAAACGTTTTATCAAATAGCCGCCGAGAAAAGTACCGCCGCCTCCCGCCGGTACAGTCACCAATCCTGAAAAAACCATACTTTGTAATATAAACAGTATAGCGGTAATTAATCAACATGTCATCAATTGATACTTGTTAAAACTTCTTTACTGTGATTTGGCGCGTCACTTTCTTTCATATCGATTCATTTTCGGAGCTTTATGTAAATGATTCCACATAACGAGCCGCGCTTATATGAAATTCATGCTATATCTATACTACGATAGATTAATTGAATTGTGATATTATTCACCCATCAGCAACGCGGCCGAACTGGCACTGACGCTGAATTGATTTTCAATCAGTTTCGGTAGGAAAGCGGCAAATCCGGCGATCAGCAACCCTTCACTGGCACCTGCCAGGTTCAGCATAAAAAATGCCGGATTTCCAAGTAATTCGGTCAAAGCGCGCGGCAGCTCTCGTATCTTGGAAAACGCTTCCCCCGTCGCCGCGGTGGAAGATCGAGTCGACTTCTCGTGCGCTTCTGACACCCTATCCTTGGCTAGTTCCTCCGATCCTATTCAAACCGTCCGATCTTTTTACAGAGTGCTTGGGTGTATACGTTTACCGAACATCCACCTGATATCTCCAAGTTTATTTCATTATTATTTTATCTAAGAGTGTATAAGGTGAGAATAATCGTACCGGGTAAAACTGCCGGGAACGCCAAAACCGGTATCGCGATGACGAAGCACATGACAGCCGCTGCCAAAAAACCGATCCACCATGCACCAATCCAGACATTACTATCAGAAGATAACCCAATCCTAAAATTCAACGGTTTTAGGATGCGATAGATATTCGATAAAGCATATTGGCAAGTCTTTTGCCTTTGGAAATATATTTAGCATTTCATTCTATATATATAGATCTCGGGATTTCGATACTCTCTATTTTGAGTTCCCTTTTAACGGTAATGGATGTAAATATGTGCAAGAACGAAAGTAGAACATCTCGATGCTCTCATTTTTATCTCGGCTGAATGAACTGACGCGAAAAAAAAATATCTGACCGATTTTTCTCCGCCAGAAAAAGATGTGCACCTAAGAGATTATTTCGGGCGTATTCGGGATCAACATGTTCTCGTTTAACTTTTTATCTGATGATGATTTAACGTTAACTATTCTAATTTCGCGCAATCAGAAATTCTCATCCGACAAAGCTTAAACTTAAACTAACTTCTTTGATTAATTGCCAGTGCGAGATGCAGCGAACGTCCCTCTTGCGTGGCTTTTCGACATTGATGACACGATCGTTTAACCGAATAAAAGTAATTTTATCAAAGCTCGATGTAACGTATAATTGATTAATTAAAACGAAAATATATAATAATAAAAGAAAAATATCTTTATCGCAGATATAAAAAAGTATGAATATACTTTTCATTGAATATACCAATCTATATAGAATATATTTCTCGTAAAATCGAAGCTTACGCGAATCATGTTATCCAAATAAATATTAATATCAATAACATAAAGGATTGTTGAATATTTTGATAAATATTAATTACGAATGTTTATTAAGTATTTCCAGAGCCAGTAAAATTATGGAAATATATTGATAACACAGTGCTAAAATTCTCTGAAAGGTAATAAATACGATAAATACGAAAGAGAGGATAGGACACTTGATGCGAAAGAATCGATACTTGGTTCGAGAAAAGGAATAATTTATATAACGCCCGAAAGTCATTACTAGAGAAACGACACACGACCGTAGCTATAATGTAACGCAACTTATCGCAGGAACTTGAAAGTGAGAAAGCGGAAAGGTGCACGTAGAGAAGTCATTCATTTCAAGCCAGCTTGAAGCCAGCTACATCTGCCGCTGCTGCATCTCCGGCATGAAACTTTTCATTTACCTGCGAAATTAAACGCGGCGCATGCACGAACGACTCTACGTGCAGCGATACGGAGAGCCGTATACCTATTACGCGAATAATTTTGCCTTATTTTTTGTGTCCTTTTTCTTGAGAAATCTCGTAAAACAACAAAGATGTAATTGCAATCGCAAGAGCACCATTAATTGTAGGGATGCATCGCGATTCATTTCCATTTTATTCATTCCTATATTTCGCGTAAATAAGGCTTCGAAAAGCGCGCCCGCGCGCGTGTATGTATGTGTATGTGAAAAGATGCGGGAAAAATCGTCTCTTCGGCTAACGATTAATTTGATTCTCACGCGGTACAGAATGACTCAACGGTCGACGAAGGGGTGCGCGTAGCTGTGGGGAGAGTCCTCGGGGAGACGCGTAGGACAAATAGAACTTGATTGTGTCCTAAGTGCTGAGGGGGATGAGCCAACAGTTTTGAAGGGTAATATCGGCGTCGTCGTCAAACACTGGTTCGCCACTTGACATTTTCCCCACGGGATACACTGTATATCGATGGAGTTACACGCGCTATTAATCTCGGCCCATTATACGCTCTAATGATCCTGGGGAATATTTTTAACGGCGCGCGGATCATTAAAGGAGCGTGTGTGTTTGCGTTTTCATGTCTCTCGGATAAATATATATATGCCTTTTTCGAGAGAGGCGTATCGGGTGATACGACAACCGGGTGTCGAAACCGCAGAGTCGTCGTTTGATAATTACTCTTGAAAATCAACTAATCGGATCAATCGTTTACGCGCGCGCGCTCGCGCTATTTAATCGAATGCTTTATGTATTATCGTTTTGCAATCGATATCGAATTTCCCGCAAACTACCGGCACGGCGTACGCACATCGCTCGAATACTAGTGGCGAAATGAGGAATATGCGCATTTGCATACCATCAGATCGGTGAGTTATTCGCGTTCGAAACCGCGCGCGTCGACACGCGCGTTATCCGTATCGTGTCCGTACATACACGGCGCGGCGGTGTGTACGCGTATATTCGGTCGTCGGAGAGATAGACGCGAACGACCGATAAATCCTCGCGAGAATTTAATAAAGTTGCCGCTGACGCGCGACTAAACGTTCTCGTGTGTTATCAGGGAAAAAAAAGGTGTGGGAAATACGTTTAGCGTGACAACGGGAAGAGACGAATTCCGATGCCGCGGTCGTTACACGTTTTTCCCCTGTGTTCGTTTAACGCGACTACATTCTGTAACTACTCATTGCACAAATAAAACACCCCAACGAACTCTCATTCTCTTCTTGAAGAAATAAAGATATCTGAGATATATATATTTGTTAATAACAGAAGATAGCGCGCGCCCGTACATCTATTTAAATATTAAAATACTTACGTTGAAGAATCCACCGTAAGAAAGTCTGTATAAATTTTCAGTAGTTCGCCACCGACAACGTAGCCTAATGCTGGTCCTATTATGGCCATGGTATAGTAAACACCTGGACACACGATACATTTTGTTTTATTAAAATCGATCGAGAAAAAGTTGACATATACATTAAGAAAAAAAAAGTTGTTAACTTAACTAAAAATGAGTTCAACTGATTACTATTTTTTTAATTGAAATATTTAACTATTTAAAGTTTAAATACGACATTAAATTTAACATGATGTAATTTGACTTAAATATTTCAATTTAAAAAATGGTAATTAATTGAAGGCATTTAGTTAAGTTAACAACTGTTTTTTTTTTCAGTATGTACTCAATACAAACATATGTACTTGAGTTGCTTATGCGCGTCTTACCTAGATACACCGAAGACATCTTCTTCGAAACATTTTCGTCTAGATACGTAACTCCGAGGGTATAAAAGGGTGCCGCACCGGCGCCATGTAACAGCTGAGCTACCAGAAATATGGTTAAGTACACGCCACTGTAAGGCTCTAGCTCCGCTTGTACGGTAGATTGATCCGTGCAGGATATCTGAGTGGCCGAAATAATGATAAATCTGGCGTCGCCGGTTCACTAGGCAAACTACGTAAATAGAAGTGGGAAAAATCGAGAAAAGCACGGTATTACAAACAAGTTTCGATTAGTCGCAACGCACGCATTTAATTACGTGTATTGTGTTTATTATCGATTGTGATGTAAATTTCGTTTAGGAGAGAATTTAACGTGTGGTCTCGACGTGATATAACCGGTGTATTATTGGAAAGGTGTTACGGGACACGCCGCCGCGCCGAGCCTTCTCGATTAAACTTGTCACGTTGGTGATAAAGTAAACCGGATATGTAAATGGAGAATTTAAATACTGTAGTTTAATTTGTTTCGCTTACCGAGTGGCTCGATATATTGCTGACACTTTGGCATGTGTTCTCTGTTTGCTGACCCCCTCTATATGGTCCGGCAAGATAATGCGGAGACGCAAACAGCAGGCTACCTATACCTAAGACTAGAATTCCTATGCCGATATACCTACGACAGTCCAGAACATCCGATTGAAACAGGGTAAATTTAAACATTTAAAGAATGCGATTAATTCTAGACTGTATTTTCAAAGTCAAATCAAACAAAAAGTGGAATAAATCATTGTTGAATACGCGCTGTTTGACAGTGCTAGCTTTTTTTTTAATTGGATAAAGTAATTTTAGAGAAACTATCTCCAGCCGACGAGGTTCAAGATCTCCGGAAGGGCTATCGATTGTCGATTACGCGGGCGAGGGGTTCCGAGGCGTTGTCGCAGCAAAGAAAACAGGATGGGGGATTAACGTCGGACGGTGTCGGACGGACTGACGTTAGGATTAATATTTATGAGAGTCGTCGCGTAGAAACGATATCGGTATTAATATTAATGCGTGAGATAATGGCGCGCGACGACATACACGTGCGTACCTTGGCTTCGATGCCTTTGCGCGGCCGCCGAGATAGCTCACTGGTACGAGAAGAAGGAAGCTGGCTATATCGTATCCGCCCGCTATCAAGCCGGTCTCCGACGACTTTAGTCCGAATCTCCTTTCTATCGTCGTTATGACGACATTTACAAAACCGTTCACGACCATCCCTGGAACAACGAAGATACGTATGTGTGCGTGCGTGTTGTATGATATGTAACCAATGGCTCATTTGCAACCTATTCGATACCAACTTTATTTGCTGCACGAAATCCGGCAGTTTGTTTTACAATTGAAGAACAATTTTGCGACCCCTGACAAATTCCAATTACAAATTATTATACACGACTTTTCAATAGAGAGCAAAAACGCGCGTGATCGTACGGACAAATTCTAAGAAATAATGAGAATTTATCAGTCACGCGCGTTTTTGTCCTAAACATACTGTAATTAATCTGTCTTCACGCGATGTATGTTTGCACACTTTTGGGATTTTAATGATATTAATGATATTATAACGCACAGAAAACGTTAGTCTTCTTAACTTCTCTTACATTACAGGAACACCGAGTAAATGGCTCCCTTAGGATGCATTTTAGACATATTTTAATCCTAAAGAGAATCACGTCTGGCGAGAAAGAACACTCATTTCGTTGAAAGTTTTATCAAAAATAAATTTCTTACATTGGCGAATTTACACGCTTTTCAGCGACTGACGGATTTTTTCAAGTTTTTTTCTCTTTCTTTATCGATGTGTTATTCCTTCTTCCGTGATTCTTGATGTATACGCAAACTATAGACATCGGTCGGACAATTTCCTCGTTATCGTCAATCATCACCCCCGTTGCGCTTATTTTCATGTAGAAGCATCGAAATTGCGAATTCAAACGTATGAGTATTACCGTTGCCCGTGCGATAACATTGTGACGCATCAAATGCTATCAAGGAATTATGTATGCAAAGATACGACTCGCTCGATGTCTTTTTATAATAACGGCGTGCGGGACGATGAGAAAGTCGGTCTGAAAATACTCGCGTCCCTGACACTCGCGTCTAATCTCGGATGATCGGAAGAAAGTTAACGCTTCGCGCACCAACGCTAATGACAAAACTCGAAAGAAGAAACCGAGAGATTGAGGCAAAAGGTTTCATGTCTCATATCTGTCTCATATGTTTAACGTTTCAACTACGGCTGTCGTCAATGGACAAAACGAAAATTTCGCGAAACACGGCTGTCGTCAATAAGCGATTTTACGATTTTAAGATTCGTTCGATTGTGAGAAGGCACGAGAATCTATACCCGTAGTTAAAAGGCTAAAAATAAAATTGCAGCAAAATTAGAGCAAAATTATCGTCACTGACAGCACTGGTTTCAAAATACGCTATTTTCCAATTAAAAATATTTTCGTTTATTTAAATACTTCTTAAATTATTTTTTAAAGAACTTTGTATTTTTTATTTAAAAAGCTTAACGGAAAAATAATTAATTTTTTGCACCAAACTAATATATTAACCAGTTAGCGTCTTCACAACATTATAATTAAAATTTTTGTTTTTGAGCAACACTAACAGGCTTATCAGACATCGCGGTGAGATTCGCGCCGAGCGAATCTCCGTATGAAAAAAAATCATCAAACTACGTACCTTGCATCGCCCCGGCCCAGCACAGCCAGAAAAGCGCCCATTTCGCAGTGCGAAATTTCTGCAAGTAAATTGGCCTGAACCAGAACCAACCGCATTTCAGATTGTCCGCGGTTCTATCCGTCTCCTTCGGAATTTCCGGCTTTATTTCCGGTTTTCTCGGGCCGTCCCCAAACTGTTCCGGGAAGCTAGACAGGGTCTCGTGCATGTCCGGCACCCCTGACTGTAAATTACATCGGCGAGGATTTATCTCTATCATTTTGGGATATATAAATAAAACATATTGCATATTGCATTTCGGTTTTCCAATATACGCCAACATTCGCTCTGCCAGCCTTATAAAAAATACGATATGCAAAATAAATAGCAAATAGAACGGATAAGAGTAAATTCAGCGAACTCACGCGGCGTGCGCAAAACGACATGATTGGCTCTAACAATAAATAGAAGAGAATATGCTACAATCTCTGTGACCTACGGTCTCGAGTGATAGCCGTCCGTATGCGTTCTGTACGTTTCATATCGCTGATGGTTACAAAACAAATATTAACCAGACGTTTTCTATCCTTTCTTTTTTTCCCAACTCTTCTAGCAAATCGCGACAGAATTAAAAAAAAACAAGAATCAATTGCAACACCGTACAAACGATACTTACGCTGAATGTGAACTTGTCCCTCATAATTGTCAATAATTTCCACGAAGCGAGATAAGAATCTACGTATTTTGCTTAGCTTTTACTAATCATTCTTTTATCTTTCGGCGACAGTCGGTCGTAAAAATCTGGCAAACATTTAGTACTGAAATATTTCATTAAAACATCAACAGATCTCGTCTCATTAGACAGAGATCATTTACACTTGATCGGTCAGAGATCGCGATTTCCGTTAACCTTCTTAAGAGAAACGTCGGCGCGCGGATAAGAAATGCAACTTTGGATTAACAACCTCCACTTTATCAATTGATAAGAGATAAGACAGTCAAACACGATTAGTTCACCGCGCTGCCTCTAACTTTTTTCAAAGCTATAAGAGTTTGTGTGCACTTCTTTTGCTCGATGACGAGCATTATTTATTCGAAGCGCCGTTACGTCCACTTTCCATCTTGCGCTTCTTTTTTCTCTTTTAATAATTTCTGTCTGTGCAAAGCTTTAATTACAATTTTCCCAACCGGCAGAGAAGCGCCGATAGTAAAACGTACATCGTTCCATCAGACAGTATCACGAAGATCGTACTTCATCTCATCGAACTCGTCAATTTCGATTGCGCGTAATCGAGAGTCGCAAATTAATAGCGTTCCCCATATATCGATGCAACCGCGAATATCTATCGTTTACACCGCATTTTATCGTTGTAACTTGTAACCCGCGGCCCACAATTTATTTCTCGATTTACTCGCCGGTCCCGAGTTGGTGCACCGAGTGGGTTTTCGTACAGCGCAAAGGAATTTATTGCAGCGAAAAACACGTCTGTATTACACTTCCATCAGGAAAATTCTAATAACCCGCAAACAAATGTCTAGTTCCACGCGCGCACGTTCTTTCGCATTCATTTTTCAGCCGCGTCAAATCGGAGCCGAGGAACGTAGCACGTAGCGGCTAAGAGCGCGCGTCGCACGCGACTGAAGACTGAAGTCCGCACCCACGCTTCAAGCTCGCGCTCGCGCTCCTACTCTCACAGTTTTCCCCGTTGAGTTTAAACGCGATATAGACAACCCCCCCTCTCTCTTCCCTTATCTCTCCCCCTTCTCTCTCTCTCTCTCTCTTTCTCTCTCTATCCCTCAACCCACCACCCGCGCTTTTATCACAGACATATACCTTTTCTTCTTTCGTCCCCTTCTACCCCGGTTCTCTCTCTCTCTCTCTCTCTCTCCCTTCCTCTCCTATCGTTACCTACGACTTACACTGTACACTCTTCTTCCTACTCTTCTCCAATCCCCTATAAACCATCCCTACTAAGCTGTTGCTTCGCCATCAAGATGTACGAGCTACCCGGTTCCATCCGTCATTTAAATATGATCAAGTTTATTGGCTTTTGCGGAGAATTTATACGCCTGGCGTAATAACGTAGAGTTCCTTGCGCGAAGCTCCAGCCGACTAATAAGCGCTTAACGTATATGTATGTATGTACGAGGCTCGACATCGTTGCCCGCTAATTAACGAACGCTCGTTATCTATCTCGATCACTCTTTAAAGAGAGATAACACTTCTTTTTGAACATGGTGTTATCTTGTATGAATAATAATATTGCAAGAATAGATAAGGCTAATACTCTTATTTACATTATGTTTATCAACAGCTTTAACTCGATTTAAACTGCCGCGTCCATTACACCTTTGTTAAATATATAAGCAATTAAAGTTACTTTTGTCAAAATCGTAGACTCGACTATAAATCAATTACAAGATTTACAAAATCGATAAGTGTTGATCTGACTGTGATTGTAAGAAAATTTTGTACTTAAGATTATTACACACTTATTATTACACAGTTTTCAAAGACAAAGTTTACAAAATATATATCGAATGTATTTCGGCTTAAAATTTGAATTTTGATTATTTAATTGCCAACGAGATAGCAATTATATTTTGTTTATCAGAAAATTCCATTCGCTGTGCGCGACTGATGTTAGAATATGATAAAAATGATCGATGTGGAACAAAACAAAAGATCTCAGATTTAACAAATATGTTTGATTGTAAGGAATTACAGATAAAACAATTAATAAAACAAGTGCACGTACATTTATATGAATTGTATGAGAAAGTATAATTCATAAATCTGCGAAAAAGGAATGGAAAGGAACGAGCAAGACGTCGATTAGGAAAGTTTCAACATTTTCGCGGAAATGCCCGAAATTTCTTAAGTGCGCGGGAGAGGCGGACAACTGAGAGACAAGCGTAGGTCAGGTCGGATATATCAAACATCGCGGACGCGCCTGAATTTATGGCAGCAATAACGCTGGTACGCAGAGAGGCGAGAAGATCGAAATAAATCACTATGATAATATCGTCTCTTAAAGAGGCTAGAGCACAAAATGCAGGGTTCGTTGAGCAAAAGGGGAATACCCTCACCGTGTAGTGTATTTCGCAATAAAATCGAACTGTTCTGCGATCGATGTGGCGGAAGTAGTCGAAAAAAAGTTGGAAAACGGCGAAACAACAGAACGGAGCAGAATCATATGTTGACGTCGTTTTAAATCAGGAATTATGCGAGCGTAGGAATGAAAGGTATTCGCCCTCGCGGTGGCAGTTAATTACCATATCAAATTAAATATCACATCCATCTACCTCGCGGACAGTGATTATTCGCTCGGTAAAGGCGGATGAGCGTTACCGAAAATACACAAAAAAAAGAGCCATATTACGCGTAATACGTGTGTAAGGTATACATACGTGGAGTGGCATATTTTATTACACAATGTAAACGCGGTCGAGCAGGACTAAACCGAGATTGCGCATGTTGCACACGAAAAGAGAGGGGAATGGAGAGGGAATGAGGGAGAAAATAAATACTCTTTCGGGGACCATCGCGGGTGCACACGTTTCACAATCCACGCGACCGCTTCGACATAAATTTCGTGGATTTAATAAAGATTCATGGCTTCCGCTCTTGCGAGAGTGTAGTACGGCTGCCGTGTATGGGTCTGCTCGTCGGGAAGACGGAGCGAGCGGACGTTGTCTCTTACGACGATCGTTTCACCCCATAGGCGCCGAATTTTCTTACGAAATTTATGCTAAACGCTTCTCGTGCCTCAGGTGTTACGAAGATCCTCGATCGAAGAACTGATGTCGCAATTTCGAAAAATTATTCGAGAACAAACGTATAATTTTTATCGAACAGGAGGAATTTATGACAAATAAATTTGCGACGAACGTCGCAATTTTCTATCCAAACAGGACATGTGGTGTGACGCCTATGACAATAGACAAACAACGACTCGTGTCGATGCTCGAGGGCGTGGACGACTTCGGGCGGGTTACAACACGATGGAGATCGCGAGAGGAAGCTTTTAATAATGTTATAATTTGCGGTCCCCAAGAAGCACAGTTTGTAGCAACAAAGACAAATTAGAAGAATAAGAGAGATAGTCAGAATTAATTTTAAATTCCGATGTTACGCACGAGATCTTATCGCACGTAAACGTCACACGTTCTGTTTCTCCTCGTCGCTTTCGGGCGCGCGGAAGTCGCTCGATGTGTGTCCGTGCCTCTTGATACGCGCATCGCGATCTCTTTTAATCCTCTTATACGAATGCGAGTCACGGCACAAAACCTACTAGCTGACTGGAAAATACGCGAATGATTGGTCGGTGCATTCCTCGTGTCATTTCGAGAAATGACTGACATCAGTCGCGATTCGTATAGTCGATTTCTTTATCGAACGGATAAAGGGTCCTTTACACGCGGCGTAAAATATTTCCTGCCTCTCGCGATGATTATCCATCGACCACGTGATGAGGGGGAAGAAACAAACCGGGGGATGGAGTCGATTTCTGCTGTAGTAATGAAATATACTTTCGCGGCGTCCCCTTTTCGCCGCTCGGTCTTTTCCCGTTCAAAATGAAAACGAGTGTCTCCAAAGAGCTTTGTGCATGTCTATACCGTCACGTTCGATATTCCGGTACGTTTCTTTATGCCGACACACGTTTTCTTCCCTGCGAGGGTTTCCTGAGCGAGAGAGCCGGTAGGCCGTTTCGTGGCGCGCGACATAAAGCGCGCCACTTGCCATTTAGATTTCCTCCGCTTTTGCTTTTTGCTGGGAAAAGCTACACGTTTCAAGCTGAAAATGCGGATATGACGCAGACAGGCAACCGGCGGCGAATAGAGATTTTATACATTCCCGTTGATTGTTGTATTGACGTAATACCCGGTGTAAATATGTAACCCGGGTAGTTGCAACAGCGTAAAAAATTTTTCATAGATAGATCTGTATAATTATATTGTAACTAATACAATCGTGTACAATGCAATATATATGCATTTTTGAAATGACGAGAGAAAATGGAAAGTTAACGGAAAGTCCATCCCTCTAATCAATCGACAACTTTCGCAACAGCGTTTACAGCGTACCTACGTCCGTGACCGATGCATTCCTAACAACTATATTCAGGAGTAACTCGATTTACGGGCGTATGCAAAGTGAATATGCCAAACAGCTTGTTAATGCAAATTAAACGGCACTCAACCGACAAACAGGCATTTCGTGAAGCAGATGCCAATTATTTAGACCGTTCGTTCCTCTCCTGTTCTCATCCACTTTCTCCGACATTGACGCGCGATATTGCTAACAAACGCAAAGAAAAAGTATTTCTTTCTTTCTCGCGCCGTTTCTCTCGAACAATTAGAGAACAATGTGACATAACACGATTGCGCGTGTAACCTGTTCTTTCTTGAAATTCTTCTCTTCCTGAAATTTTAATTTTAGATTATGTAGATTTTATGACAAACACAGATTTTTTAGGGGGTGTTGTAAAGAAATGACGTGGTCTATAGTGGCTACCTCAAGAAAAAAACGCGTTTAAAACGAAGAACAAAATAACTTTCAACTCAAAATACATACAACATATTCAATAATTAAATCAAAATCAAAGTTTACTAAATGAAAAATGTTTTATGACAAAACGCAAAGAATTGTTAAATGTTAGAAATGCTTATTTACGAGATATTATTTTTAGAATCTCACTTATTATAAATAAATAACGAAAGAGATTACTCCGGTTTTTTTTTTCAGCCTCGTCATTCATTTACAATAGAGACCTTCAAGTAAGAGTCTGGCCACTGATCGACTGTGTGTTGAATGGTGTTGACAAACCATGGCAGAACCAATTCAAAATACAAAAACGAAAGCGTCAAAACGAATTCAGCCTATATTTGTTATGATTTGTCATACAGAACACGTTGTCATGTGTCTCTAACTAATTGTATAAACTCTATATAAAGTGAATTGTTTTTAAAGCTACCATTATTTGTCAAATTGGCCAGACTCTTACTTGAGGGTCTCTGCTTTACAACATGCCCAAAAACATCGTCAGACCCCACTCTTAGACTTTGTACACGCTTATACATAACAAATCTGACATAATACACTTACAACGAATATTACATAATTATACTTTTTTACATGTTAATGTGCGTTTACAATGGATTACAATGGGTATTATTCGCGATATTGCACTGCAAACATAAACACGTTCAAATTACGTGTACAGTTTTGTTAAATAAACGTTCTTTTATTACATGCATTGTGCTATTCTGCAAAAATTGTTAGAAGGCTTACATAAAACAAGATTATTTCAGCCCATTTACTCATATAAATTGGCTGATTATTTATAAGTCAGCAACGCAAGTCTCTGTCTCTCTCTCCCCCCTTCGTCTCTCTTCTCTCTCTTTCCTTCTCTCTCCCTCTCCCTTTATCTCCTTCCATTTTTTACAATTTTTCGAGCTTTCGAGCACGGTCCATTAATTGAGACAATGTCGAAGTACGCCGTGACTTCTGCGTTCTGTCTCCCCCTTTTCCATTATTTTCTTTTTTCGACATCTCCGTCGTAACAGGCGGCGCTACTTCTCATAATTGCAGCGCAATCGCGCTCGGTTCGCTCTTTTCCAAGCTTTAAGTCGGCTCAAAACTGTTTCGTCCATACGAGCGATGT